TTTAATAATTCTATCACAGCTTATTCATTCATAGTGTTTACACTACCATTTATAATGATCGCTATCAGGTTAAGCCATATACATTTTATCCTTCTCCATTCACCTTAGGTTCAAGTTAGTGAGTAGTAATTAAACTGTACATATTAATTAAACAAATGGCATGGTGTAAATGTGTTGCTTACCTGTGAGGATGAGAAGATGTCACCTAAGCTTTCGGAAAACTCAAGGAACAAGTACACTCAAGGAAGAAAATAGAGCTAAATATAGATGGAAATTTGGTGGTAACCATCAGTTGGCAAAGGCAGAACTATGCAAAACAGTCCTTTAAACAACCGGGTATTCCCTTGGAAGAAGACAGAATTGTATTTCTAAGGTATCCATTCACAAACACGAATTCTGGATGGATAAAAGAATTTGATGTGAAAAACAAAACTTTAAAACTTTTAGAAGAAAACATCAGAGAACAGTTTCATGACTTTAAGATTGGAAATAAATTTTTAAACCACACATATACCCCCAAACCATCAAGGAAAGGCTAGTAAATTTACAACATTAAAATGAAAAACTCAGTACAACCAAAAATTCCAAGCACAAAGTACAAAGATAAGCCACAGACGAGGACAAGATATTTATGCTCACAGAATGACAGAAGAATGGTATCCAGAAATCACACAGACCTCCTATGAATCAATATGAAAGAAATATGAGATGATCAATAAAACACCATCATTCATAACAACATATTGCATTGAGATAGGATTCTGAGGATGGGAAACAATGGAATTTCAAGTTCAAAGGGCAAAGACAATTATGTGAACTCTCCAACTCAGAAGGAAAATCTTGGTATATTATTTAAAAGGATGTGCATGAGAGTCCTATCATTACACTAATTTAATTTCACTGGATTCTTTGAAAAAAATGATCACTAGCTTTGTCTTTAAATGTCCACATTACAATATTATGCAAATTAAATTCTTTCAACTACATAAACGTCCGCTAAAGTAATTTAGTTGTCTGTTTTAAAATGTATGAGGAGGTAGTTTTCCCAACTTTGGGGACTATATGAGCAAGAGTTTGAGGACCATGAAAAAAGTTTGAGGATCATTGCTACATATGAGTAAGTGCCAGGTTTTCACTGTACATAATGTACATAATGTACTTCCAATTAGTCACAATTACAACACATTCCTATTGACATAAGACAGGACCAATGAATTGTGATATATTCATACAATGAAACACTATAAATGGCAATAGAAAGAAACAAGATCTCTATGTAATAAGATGGATAAATCTCAAAACAATGTTTGAAAAGAAGGCAAATTGTTAGAGTAAATGTACTAAATAGAAACATTTATATCAAGCATAGAAACCTATTGTCCACAGTGTCCCCTCACCCCTGCATCTGGAAACCCCCACAGTGAGTTTTGTTTAATAGACACAGACTTTCAGTTTTGCAAAATATAAATAATTCTGGGATGGATGGGTATGATGGTAATGCTGCAGAGGGGGAATTTTCTCTGGGTTCTTTGGCTGATTTAATAATCAAATTGACACAAGACAGATTAACAGGAGAAAAAAAAATTTAATTTTGTACATACAGCGTTCTTACAGATACTGGCCCTAAGAAGTGACCAAAACAGTCCATTTATATTCAAAAAATAAAGAATGAAAAACTAGAAGACAAATGTGTGTATGCACTACCACCATTAATATAGTATATTTAGCTCTATTTATATATCTAGTGAAGGTTAAAAGAAATATGCAAGGGAATGATAAACATCACATCAAGAGAAGAACAGAATCCAATATCTGAATGGAACCTGGGTTTTGCAGGGTCATACAAATATAAATTAAGAGGCTCTCTTTAAGAAAATGAATAGTACATTTTGAAGAGAAAAATAAGACAGGTCTATTGCTGTTTGTGCTACATTATCAAGTATATTCCTGATAGGAGAGCTGTTCTAATTTGAGCAGGTGGGTAAGAATAGAATCACTTACTTGGAATTTGACATGTCTAATGTTTTGACACTTTTTCATGGGCTAGCTTCTGGCTATGCATCTCAAACTTTGTTTCTCCTCTACTCCTTATGAGCACCACATGTGGGTCCTCCTGAAATACATTCTTTCTGCTCTATGAGCTCTGGCCCTGTGCCTTCCGGTTCCGTTGCCCATGAGTGGAAATGGAAATCAGGGACATTCTTCCACTGGGACGTCCAGGAATCACTTAAGAAACACACTGAATTAAGAGAGACCCACATAAGTATACAGGGCTAAGCCCAGCCTGAACATATTCCCAATGTCACTTACCCTTAGCCAGATACTCAAGTAACTGAGGCCGTCAGTCCATGCTGGCCACAGAAGGGGGCATGGGATGCTGGCAAGGCCAAGTGGAAAGAGACAGTGCTTTTCGCCCAATGCAACCAAAATCTCTCACTTTGGGAAATTTTACAATTTTTTATAAAAACACAGAATCATGTAAACACATTGGTAGGACCTCCCTTGGGGAGAGTGGAAGAAGGGGCAGCATCTTAAATTGTATGAGCTTCACAGTAAATCCAGTCCTGGCAATCTGAAGAGGACAAAGAGGTGCGTGCGTGTGTGTGTGTTTGTGTGTGTAAAATGTGTGTGTGTGTAAGACAGAGAGAAAGAGAGAACAAATATGTAAATGTAAATAAGGCAAAATGTTAAGATTTGCTAAAACCGGCTTGGTGGGTACTTGTATGTACATTTATATTATTGTTTGCATTTGTTTATATATTTGAAATGTTTCATTAAGAGACAGAGACAGAGAACACGCTGAGCTGCTTGCATCCACAAGTCTCCCGGGAACAGCTGGAGGAGAATCCCGCGGGGACGGCTGGGATGGAGCTTCTGGGTCCTGGGGGGAAGGGCAGCTGCCGGAGGTGGGGCGGCTGCCCGTCACGTCACCTAAGACCAAGCTCACGTGTACTGCTGTTGGGGTCTGGCAGTTCACATGGCACCACCAAGCATCAAAAAAAAAACCACTGGATATACATGCTTTTTTCAGAAAAGCCATCTTAGGCTCCACTCCTGACTCCCCACAGGAAGGGCTACCTGTTTCATCAAGACAAAAGAGTCACTAGCGCCGTGCAAGACTCTGTCACCACATGTCACTTCACATCAGCTGGCACATGTCAGAGAATGACACAGAAAGCCGCCACCTGCCATCCCCTCGCAGAGCACATCAAACTTCTTTTTGTAAAACACTTCAACAGCAACCAAGAGAAAATTTCCTTTATGAACCACGATGCCATGTCAGTGAATGAGCAGGAGTGAAATCTCATTTCCTAGAACTGGAGACAACAGAGGAGGAAGCAACACTGTAAAAGGTCTCACGTTAAAAATAGACCTTCCACTCTCCCCACCTACAAATATTCCTCCCCCGATATCCGCTTCCTGGGGACACAGAGGAGGTGTCAAAAAGCCACATGGAGCCTTGTCTGGAATATGAGTTGTAACAATTTTTGCCTAAAATAAAGAATATTATAGGCTGGAACAGTTGGGATTCTTTCCACTGTGCTTTCATCAGAATGATAATAGAGAAAATTATGTGTGTGAGTGCATGGAGGGCGGGAGGATGTTTTGAAAATGGCTTTTGTCTTCTGGCTTACTCCTTTTGTCTTCTGGCTTACTCTTGGAACACTTTTAAGAGAATCACCCAAGAATTATAAAACTTTAGGGCCAAATGTGACCTACCAGATAATCTAGCCCAGTATTCAATGTAAAGATCAGAGACAGCAGCAAGCGGCCTGACGCCACACAGCAGCAGGGAAACAAGTGGCAAGCAGAGGTGAGGGGCACAGAACCTCAAATCAGACCCCGACAATCAGAGTTTGGCAAGTACCGTACCTCTATGCCTTCACATCTTCATCTCTTAAATGAGAATATAGTAAAAGTAGTATGAACTTCAAAGGATTAGCCTGGTGATTACATGAGAGACTGTTCCTAGTACACACAAGCACTCAACAGTGTCTGGTTTTCATTTTATCATTGACCATTTCACTGACTGCTTCCACCAGGCCAAGTTTCCACTGTCACCAGAAATGCTCAGAAAGATTCTCGCTGGAGGTGCATACAGTAAGCGCTCATTTAAAGTTGATGCTAGAGTCTCAGAAAGCATGGATATCAAAAGCAGATCCTTGAATAACGTCCTTGTATTCACCATCAGCTGGGATGCTTTTTTCTCATCCACACTGTAAGGAAATGGCATGGAACATGACGACATAATGGGTGGGTTTGCCTCCCTGACAGCCTAATAAATACAAAATGATCATTTCTGGATGATGACTCTTGGTGAAAAATAACTGGATTGTATCTCAAGGAGAGGAATCATTAAGCACGAGGTTGCAGCTTACACCAGGGCTTGAGGAAAGCTGGGGAGGAGGAGAAGATGAGGATTTGAAGAAGAAGAAAAGATACAGTGAGAAAAATGTATCGGAGTTCTCATGGGGCCAATTTTAAACTTGATTTAAATTAACCTTCAGATGTGTTGCTTTTTACAGGGAAGCCATAACAACATAATAACAAGAACACAATGGGCATCAGGTTCGCCTGCACCTTTGGACAAAGGACAGACTTGGTACCGTCACCAGCTCCCCACCAGCCAGGGCATCGCCAGCAGAGTATCCACATCGGCTTTCCCCAACAGTATGCACACCCCTAAAACAGGCTTCCAGAATGTTCCTGGAAGACAGGTCCACTGTCAGGTTGGACAAGCCGGAGCAAATTAAGAAGGCTCTCATCATGCTTGAGAATACCTGGGGTATAACACTGAAGTCATTACTCTTTATCTCCTTGAATTCCAAGAAGCAAGAAATAGCAGCACAATAAAAAGTCTTTCATAACAGTTGATTAGAAAATATGGCCTGCGGAAATTCAAGCTTTCGTCGCACTTTGCACGTTAAAAATCCAAATATGTTAGAGAAACTGGGATTTTTAACCCCCCACAGCTTTAACACAAAGGATCACATTAATAAGATACAATTTAGATTTGCATTTTTTAATAAGCTCGGGATCAAAGGGAATGCATAGCTGAAGGGGTATTAAGCTGTGTGCACACAAACTGCTCCCTCCACGTTGGCGGCAGAAAACACGTTCCCCGCTGCAGGAAACACCTATAATTTGAGAAGGAGAAAATGTATTCCTTCTTTGGCACATCATTACTGCTTAACAACTTCCAACCATTTCAAATCGGTCCAGGTAGATTCGCCTGCCTATCCACCTAATGGACTCAGGCCATCCTGATGTTGTATATCCCAACATGGTAATTGCGGACGTCCCAGAAGAAACTGATTTTGGACTTTTCCTCTTATGTATCTCTCTAATAATATAAAGATAAGAATCAGTCCCTTAATTCCTCAGGCTGAGTAGGATGTAAGCATGGTTTATTACTTATCAAGCTATTCTTCATTATTAAAAACAAACCCCCTCCCTAGAAGGCTTGAAATCACGCCCCACGGGGCCAAGAAACCCCCCTTCTTAACATGTCCCAAGGGTTTCCAGAATGACCTCCCTTGAGGCAGATGCAGTTACAGCTTTCTAGAGATTTATGTACATTAGTTAATATTTACTGTGGGGTTACTATGTGCCCAACACGGTACTGACAAAACACTACACGCATTCTCTTATTCTGTCTCATTTTAAAAACCAAGAAATTTGGAGACCCAGAGGGGCTAACTGGAAGGTGTGGGATTTGAATTCAAGAAGGTGCTTCATCTCTGGGTCACTGCATCCCTGAAGACCTGGCCATTCCTCCCTGTCACCTGTTACCCCCCCCCAACCCCCATCACTCTGGCCCTCGGTTTCCCAAGCCTCCAGGTAGCAGTACCAGAGTCCACATGGCTTCTCCTTCCATCCTGGTGCCCCAGCTTCCTCTGACCTCCTCAGCTGCTCTTCACTGAAGACAAACTTAGGCCATACTGCACTTCCTTCAGGAAGCTTCCCAGATCAGGGCTAGCCCGCCTTTCCTGCTAGTGTTTCCCACATGACATGTGATCTCCTAGACAAGGGACACAGAAACACCTCAGACACAGAAACATCCCCCAGATGTCTGGATAGCAGACAAGTAGGTCTCCCAGATGTCTGCATAGCACACCTCCTGAAGAACTGTTTGGACATTCAAAGTTTCCCCCTTGCAGTTCCCCCACCCCTACCTGCGGCACATCTCTTTAAATAGGTAACAACCTGGGTCAATCGAATACTGTCTCCCAGAAATGGGTACTGGTGCTCTAAGTGGACTGAGAATGATTATCAAGGCAAAGTCCCTTATAGCACCAGGTGAGTTTTCTGCTCCTGCATTTCCCTAAGACTGAATTCTTACCCTCTTCTATGAACTAAGCAAGCTGAGTTGGTCTCTGTTAACCCCAATGCAGAGAATAATGACGGGGGTACATGCCAGAAGGGAGCCTTGGTAACTTATGTTACTGAACTGATGACATAAGGAAGTCCCTGGTGGTGATACCAGGAACACCCCCTTACACATACCTGCTACAAGGCCAAACAAGGAGGGTCCCCATTATGTCATAACCACTGACTCTTTTCTTGGGAGGTTTAGGGGAGACAGCTGATGATCATCCATAAGGGACTGGAGAAGTGACTTCCCTCACTAGATAAATGGGATTTAAGGAGTGACATGAATGGGGACAATAGATCTACTAGGGAGGTAAGAGGCTGCAAGCTCCCCTGGAGAGATGAAGGAAGTGAGCCCATCTGGAATTTGTGAGTGACATGGAATGAAGCAGAAGGCATCGCCTGGTGGTCATGGACAGAAGAGGGCAGGAGGATATAATCAAAATGATGGAAATCTAGTAGGCTGGTGTCTTGGATGGGGAGAGGCTGATAACAATGGTCATTCATTCATTTAATTGGTTCCTGAGCATCTACTGTGTTCCAGAAGTGAACACAGTGGGGGAGAGAAGCAAGGCAAGCAAACAAATAAATAAACAAGATTTGTACTATGGAGGAAGAATATCTTGGTAAGATGAGATTTTAACTCTACCATGCAATCTTAGGGACAGAAGTCATGGAAGGTTTCCAGAAAGGTGAGTGCTGGGTCAAGCGCTGGGGTAGGGAGGAGATACTGTGTCTGGAGCCCAGAGTGAGAAGTGGGTGTAGAAGGAAATGAGGCAAGGGTCAGACTATATGCAGATGGATAAGACTGGAAAGGAGTTTGGATGTTATTCCAAGTGCAAAGGGAAATCACTGACATCATCTGATCCATGTGTGTTGGGTACAGAGAGGTGGTGTAAGAAGGACCAGAGAGGCAGCCAGAAAACCAGTGGGAAGCTATTGCAATAACTCAGAACCCCGAACTATACAATCACACAGCTTTCTCTTTACAAATGGTACTTAAAAATGTTCACCCACTCATGCTCAGCGAAATAAGCCAGAAAGAAAAAGAAAAACATTGGATGGTCCCACTCATAGCAGGAATTTAGAAAACTTAAATAAGGGACCAGGAGAAAGAATAACTATAAGAAGGAAAAAATCAAAATCAACAAACATCTATAAACCAGAGACACACTACCGGTGTTGGCGGGGGGCTAGGAGAGGAAGGATTAGGGTCAAAATAAGGGGGGGTGTAATTGTATGGGGAACATTACCAAAATGAAAATGCATACATTGTGCAAAAATGAAAAATGATATAAGAATTGTATAAAATAAAATATTAAAAAATAATGTTCACCCAAAGACACCTTTCTAACAGCCTACCCTCCCAGCAGCAGTCAGGTGTGCCCCATTTAAACATGTAGGGTAATGCCATTTATTTATTCATTCATTCATTCATTCATTCATTCATTCATTCGCTATTGATTTAGGTGATATTTCAAAACCACACACATGCTACCATGATCACCAGGCAAAGCTGCACTGCAAATTTCTTAACATAATTTAGACTTATTTTAATATCTGCTGCATTAGATTCACTAAGCTGGTAACATTTCATTATTCATCAAAGCAAGTAATTGTAGTTTGTGAGGAAGAGAGGAGAGACAAGTGCTTTTACTGAGCACTACACTGTGTGTCAACACTGGACTGAGGACTTTATAAAACGAGTCTTCTTTCAATCATCACACAATCAACCAACCATCCATCCATCCATGCATCCATCCATGCACCCATCTGTCCATCCATACAAGGAATCAGTACTGAGTGATCTTTATTGTCCTAGTTTTACAGATCAAGAAACAGAACAGGTGAGTGAGTTTTTCCCATTACAAAGCCAGTAATCTATGAAGTTCCTGGGCCAGGAGAGCAGTTTTAGAAGTTGGATAAAAACGTTCTCTGAAGATAGAGACAAGGGTGAAACAGGCGGGGGAGGGGGTGCCCAAGAGTGGATGAAGCTTTTCCCAGAGCCCCCACATTACCATGTCACATGCTCTTTGCCTTTCTAATCTTTCTGGAATTCCTAGAGCAGGAGCAGGTTAGGACAGATGAGGACTGGGTCACTTCCAATGGAAAAGTGGGCAATCTCCTGTGGCTACATGGTCAAGTCAGGCCTCTGGCAGCACAAAAGGGCTTTGCCATATACATTCTCCCATACAGCCCCAAGTTCCTGCCAGGCTGGGTGTTTCTGCTGCTTTGGAAACCTCCACACCTCGAGATATCATTTTAGCTAGCTCTCCATTTATTTGAGAGAGCACTTTAAAAAGTAGTGACTCTACTAACTGTGAAAGTAAATAATAAACAAAGGAAAATATATTCATGACCTGGAATAGGCAAAGATTTCTTAAAACACAAAGAGCACTTAGCATAAGGAAAAACTGTAAGTTGGACTACATTCAATAAACAAACTTCTGTTCCTCAAATGATACCACTGAAAAAATGAAAGGCAAGCCACTGTGTGGGAGGAGATGTTTGCAATACATTTATATTACAAAGGATTTGTATCCAGATTTTAGAAGCACTTTACAAGTCAATCACAAAAAGGCAGACAACCTAGTAGCAGAATGGGCAAAGCATTCAAATGTGCATTGCAGGAAAGAGAACACTTACGTGGCCAACCACAACATGGAAAGCTGCTCAACACCATTTCATAAAGGACATGAAAATCAAACCATGAGGATATACTACTGCCCCCTCACCCACTAAGATAGCTACAGTGAATGGGCAAAACTTGAAACACACATGACTGAGAATAAGAAAATTTCCACTTCTTAAAGTCTGCTGGTAGGACTGTTCATTGTTACAACTACCTTGGAAATATAAAACTGTCTGGTAGAACTAACTCTGAATTCACACATTCTCTTACAACCCAGGAATTTTACTCAACAAATAACACACGTTTACACAACAAGACATAAAGGATTTTTCATTGTTATGACCACCAGATGTCTAACAACTGTAGGGCAGGTAAACTGTGATGTCACTATATGACGGAATACTATACAGCAAAGAAAACAAATTATCCCCCACCACAGGGATGAATCTTATGAACATAATGATGTGAGGAAAAGAAGCCACTCTATAAAAGTACAGTTACATCCTCCTTTTATGTAAACCACCAACAGGCAAATGAATGCCTGATGACAGGAGGCAGCCACCTTGTGGGAAGAGTGGCTGGGAGGGATGTGGAGGGAACTTCTGGATCTTGGCAATGCCCCATTTCTGCTTTGGGTGGTGCTTTGTAAAATTGCTTCCAGGTGAGTATTTTTTATTTTTTCACTGTTCTGTTTACTTGAACAAAAAGCTAACTCTAAAAACAATAATTCCTAACGCCTTCATCACAAGCATCTACAGAGCACTGACTATCTCCAGGTCCCAGGCTGCAGCAGGTAAGGAGAAAGCACCTGCTGGAGTGGACTGCCAGACTTAAAGTCCCGGGCCTCGCTCCTGGGCTGCGGCTGACCAGTCAGTAGAGACTAGTGAGCACAGGCGAGGCCCTCTTCAAACTAATCCTGCCAGTGCTTCAGAAAGAAGGATCATCCTGAGTAACACAATTAACTATCTATGTCCCTGAATTTTAGAGTAGGTAGGAATAGGTCAGTTACAGTAAAACTGAAAATATTTCTCATTTTCAGCCCCGTTTTATTTTTTTAAAACATTTTTAAAAGACTTTTTATTTTTATTTATACAAGAGCTGGGGTGTAGGCCAGAGGCACAGGAGGGTGAGAGAATTCACCAGAGACAGAGCGGAGAGCAAAACAGGCAGACTGACCAAAATACACTGCTGAGGGGAGCAGCGGGCGAGTCAGGAGAGGTCTGCTGCGCCATGTGGGACTCTCCCTGGCCGGCCAGGATTTGAACCCGTGCTGCAGAGGCTGTGGACAGCTTCACAGCACTGCATTCAACCACTGCGCCACCAGGGAGGCCCCAATTAACTGTCTATGTCCCTGATTTTTAGGAATAGGTCAGTTACAGTAAAACTGAAAATATTTGTCATTTTCAGCCCCATTTCAAAGTAATATCATAGCTAGTAGTTTCTCAGAACTCTTATGTGTCAAGAACTTTGTCATTTAATCTTCATGGCAGTTTTATCGGATATATGTTATTATTCCCACAGTGAAAATAAAGAAATCAATTGAAAACAGGTGAAGGAATATGCCCAAGGTGACAGACCGATGACTGACTAGCAGAGCAGAATGGTTGGAGTTCGGGTTCTGGTGTCCACACCGCCTTGAACAATTGGCAGGGCTACTGCATGCAGCGACACATCTTCCCTCTAGAACTTCCATCACCAGTAAAGGGAGGGAAGAGGCAAGTCACAGACCCCACTTGTCACCTGCCTTCACTCACGGGGTGCTGACAGGCAGCCCCAAGACAAGAGTGATTTGCTTCGAGTCACCTGGAAACAGCATGAAAAGACCCAGCGAGAACAAAACCTTTCTTCCAGGGCTCAGAAACTGATAAAACATTAATGGAATAAAATATAAGAAATACGAGTTTATATTTCACCCCAATTCACTGCTCTGCTGAACAACCCCTATCCTTTCGGTGTGCCTAGGTTCAGGGAAGCCCAATAAAAAAAGGCCAAGCTCTGAAAAGCAATGTGTTGAGGAAAATGAGAAAAAGCACTATTCTTCTGGCACTTCATGAAAAATGGAAGGTTTGACTGTCAGGGTGTAAACAACCCAGCTTTTGTGCCACCAAATCATTATGCTAGATGCATAGTGGAGCCAGAGGCATGCCAGAGCCATAGAGGTTTATGGACTTGGTAAAAAATAGATGGTTGTAAAGACCAACTCTGGCTTATGAATCTGGCTGGTTGGAAAGGGAGAAGCATTCTGTCAGAACAGCTGCTGAAAGAAAATTCTAGAAAACAAAGAAGCCTACCATCCCACACAAGCCTGAGCAGCCCAAGCAACTCAGTTTTACCTGAAACAGGTACCAAAGGAGATATTATTTCCAGTCACAGAAGGGTCTCATTAGACACAGAAGGAAGCAACACAGGGACCCCCCCATCAAAACAAGTCAGACAAAGAGGGTCACTCAAAACAGAGAATGGAGTCAGCCTTCTGAG